CTGGAAGTGGTCCTCAAAGAGGCGCTGGAGCCTCTCTGCTTCTAACACCAGCAGTACCTGCTCCAACAGTCTAGAGCTCGTCTGATCCCGAAGAAACAGGAGTAGGGGGCTAGAGGTAAGAAGAGTGAGACTGGGGCTAGAGAGCAGCTCTGTGGTTAACAGTCCTTACCGTCCCTGCAGAGACCTGCTTCACAGGCCCTCCCCTGCCCTCCACTACAAACATCGTGCACACACACATACACAGGCAACTCACACAAGTGAAGCAAAAATAAATAAAATCTTTCTTAAAGAGCTGGGTTTGGTGGTGCACACCTTTAAGCCCAGCATTCAAGAGGCAGAAATCAGTGAGTTCAAGGCCAACCTGGTCTATATAGTGAGTTCTGGGCCAGCCAGTGCTACATAGTGAGACCCTGTCTCACACAGATGAAGGATAAGACTGGGGCTCAAGAGATGGCTCAGTGGTTAAGAGCACGTGCTTCCTGCTCTTGCAGAGGACCCAAGAAGTTCAGTTCCCAGCACCCACAAGGCAGCTGACAACTATCTGCAACTCCAGTTCCAGGGGTTCTGACACCCTCTTTTGGATTCTACTGACACTGCACACATGTGGTGTTCATCATACATGTAAGCACAACTTCATAAACATAAAATAAAAATAAATCTTAAAACTAAGTCAGGCACCAGGCAGTGGTGGCACACGCCTTTAATCCCAGCACTTAGGAGGCAGAGGCAGGCAGATTTCTGAGTTCGAGGCCAGCCTGGTCTACAGAGTGACTTCCAGGACAGCCAGGGCTACACAGAGAAACCCTGTCTCAAAAAAAAACAAAAAACAAAAAAACCTAAGTCAGGCATGGCTGACTTTACTCCCAGCACCCAGGAGGCAGAGGCAGGAGGATCTTTGTGCGTTTAAGACTGGCCAGGGCTACACAATGAGACTGTACCTCCCAAGTGGTGGGGTTAAAGGTGTGCAGCACCGCCGGGCAATAAATATTTTGGGGGAGAAGATCAAGGAGTGTAAACTTCACCCAGAAATAGCTACACCACATTATCTCTTTTGTCTCAGGCAGCACCCCTGGCTGCAGTGACCCCTGAAGACATGATCACACCTGCCATCTGCTGAAGAATTTCGAGAACTCAGGTAATCAATGACTGCATCGCAAAGGTGGGCACAGTATTGAGGTAACTTGTGATGGAGGACTTGTAAGGCCACTTGAAGACAAAAGCTGGAGATCTTGTCGGTGATAAATACTGTAGAAAAAGGCAGAAATAATTTAATGCCCTGTCCCAAACCCAGATTACCTGTTCAACCTCAATGCTCAGCCAATAAGGCTAGATATACAAAATGTCAACAGAGAATGCCTTCCAGCATTAAACCAGACAGGAGTGAAGTTAGAATGACCTGAGAGAAGGGTCCTGCTAGGCGGAAATCCCCAGAGAAGACCCTAGACCCTTTTCCTCCTTCCCTTCTGTGATGCTTTCTCTTGACTGTCCACTTGATGGGATTTACACTCACTGTGGAACTAACTTCTGGGCATTTCTGTGAGTGTTTCTAGAGTAGGTCAGTGCAGGTGGGCAGATCCACCCAAATGTGGGTGGTGCCATCTCATGAGCACAGCATTCATCTATCTCTGCTTCCTAACTTGCTACGGTGTAGCTTCTGCCATGATAACCATCCTGACAGACAGTATCTCCAGCTGTGAGCCTAACTTTTTCCTCCTTTGGTCACTTTGGTTGAGTATTTGCTTCCACAACAGGTAAAGAAGTTAATACATCTTTTTACCAGCAATGTCCTTCAGAAAGCAGGCGCTCAGGTCCTGAAGGCGATTCAAGAAGGTTTTAGGAACCTCAAAATCAGTTGGTTTACATTCTCGAGCTGAGGTCCTCTGTGTTTCTAAAGAAAGACCAAGAACATGAGCACCAGTGAGCTTCCAGACAGTCAAGAAGGAAGAAGAGCTCCCAGAAGAATAAGGGCTCAGCTTGGAGACATAGGGCAGAGGTGAGTGTCGCCTCCCAAGGATCTTTTTTTTTTTTTTTTTTAAGATTTATTTATTTTATTTATGAATATACTCTAGCTGTCTTCAGACACACCAGAATAGGGCATCTAATCTCATTACGGATGGTTGTGAGCCACCATGTGGTTGCTGGGATTTGAACTCAGGACCTCTGGAAGAGCAGTCAGTGCTCTTAACTGCTGAGCCATCTCTCCAGCCCCTCAAGGATCTTTATTTAACTCCCTTTCCGATGGTCCAGGGTTCATATTTCTCAGCCAGGATTTATAGTACACCAAAACCAGACTTCACGTATACTCTCTAATCTCATTCTCCAGTATTTTTAAACGTAGGTTATGTCCTATGACTATAACATGAAATAAAGTTAGTGGTCTCAATTAGCATTTTTTATTTTAATTTTATCTTTTTATATGCATTACATCCTAACCATTTCCCTTATCTCCACTCCTACCCAGTTCCCACCTCCCCATGTCCCCTCTCCCCCAGATCCATTCCTTCTGTTTCCCTTCAAAAAACAAAACAAAATAAACAGGCCTCCCAAAGATATCAATCAAACATGGCATAACAAATTACAGTAAGACTAGGCACAGACCTTCTTATCAAGGCTGGATGAGGCGACCCAGCAGGAGTAAAAGGGTTCTAAGTGTAGGCAAGAGTTAGATAGCCCACTCCCACTGTCAGGAGTCCCACAAGAACTCCAAGCTACACAACTGTAATGTCTATACAGAGGGCCCAGCTTAGCTCTATACAGGGTCAGTGATTATTATTTCAGGCTCTGTGAGCCCCTAGGAGCCTGCTGAGTTGACTCTGTGGGTCATGTTCTTGTGGAGCCCTCAATCCCTCTGGCTCCTAGACTCCTTCTTCTCCCTCTTCTGCAGAGTCCCCGGCTCTGCCTAGTGTTTGACTGTGGGTCTCTGCAGCTACTCCCATCAGCAATTAGCATTTTTAAAATAGAGAATAAAAATTAAAAGGAGCCGGGTGGTGGTGGCGCATGCCTTTAATCCCAGAACTTGGGAGGCAGAGGCAGGAGGATTTCTGAGTTCGAGGCTAGCCTGGTCTACAGAGTGAGTTCCAGGACAGCCAGGACTACACAGAGAAACCCTATCTCGAAAAAACAAAACAAACAAACAAACAAACAAAAATTAAAAGGAAAGAAAATATCGGAAAAAGAGGTAGCATGTGGAAAGGGTATCTTTGTCTGAACTTTTGCTCGGATCCAACATTCACACACAAGTCACATCAGGGTTAAAAACAAACTTCCTAGACAGATGTAAAGGCACACACCTGTAATTTCAGTATTAGAGAGGCCGAGGCAGAAAGTCAATAAACTTGACACCAGCATGAGCTTACAGAGTAAGTTCAGACAGACACCTGCTAAACAATAAGACCTTGTCCAAAAACCAAAGCCGTCGAGTGGCCTGCTCCTTAATCCTAGCACTTGGGAAGTAGAGGCAGGCGGATCTCTGGGTACAAGGCCAACTTAGGCACGGTAGCACAAGCCTGCAATCCCAGCATTTGGAAAGAAGAACAAGCAGGAGCATCAAGGCCAGCCTGTGCTACATCACAAGCCAAAAGCCAGATGGGTTATATGGGAGATGCTGTCTCAAAAGAAAATATCAGGGCAAGGCAAGTTACGATAAGGGTGATTGCTACTAAGCCTGACGACTTAAGTTCAATACAGAGAACCCACAAGGTGGAAGGAGAGAAACAACTCCCACAAGTTGTCTTCTCCCCTCCACACAGACACTGCAGAAGGCACACACATTTGACTGTGTACACATGCTCAGACATATTTTAAAGTTAAAACAAATTAATGTCTTACTGTGAGTTGTGAAAATAAAATTGTGAAATTCATTGCTCCTGTGCCTACGCTCGCAGCTGTCCCTTGAACGTAAGTCCATCCTTACTAGGCACACTACTCTTTGACCTTCCAGGTTCTGTCCTAAGGTTCTGCTAATTCTTCATGGTCAAGCTCCAACATGAAGATTAACTCCTCTGTTTACTGGCTTCTGAACTTCCTAAACACTCCTGCTCACCAGGCCCTCTTCCCTTTCTCACAACACTTACCAGACGACTGGGAACCACGGGGCTTGACTCTCTCAGACTCCAGAAGAGTACCTCCCAACACTTGCAGCAGAGTTCTGACCACGAAGCTGCCATGGGTGTCTCCACAGAAGAAAAGAAAATCATCACACACTTCAGCGGCTAGTCCCAGGACTAGCTCCTCCAGAGTCTGTGAAGGACCATCCTCCTCCTCTTCCTCTTCAGCTGGCTCTGCAGGACTCCTAAGCAATCGAGGTAGCTGCAGCAAAGCACTTTGTAATACGTGGACCCCACACCGATGACAGGCCACGAAACGCAAGTTGGGGCGCAGAGCGACCCACACTCGACACAAGGGTTTCAAAGGACTGAACCCCAAAAGCTCCTGCAGCATTTCACTACCAGTCCTGTTCGTGGCCAAGGCTAGAGCCTGAGCCTCCACTTCCTTCAAAATATTGCGCGCCATCAACTCTGAAAAAAAAAAAAAAAACACGAGGTCATAAATAAACCGTTAGACTGAGAGGAGGATAAGACTTAACCCATCACTTAGCCAAGAACTCCCCGGGGATCCCTCTGCAAGTTCCTTGTGTGGGTTTACATTTAATCCACGGCGTAGCTGCTCCTACCTCGTTCTTCGGCGGCGTCCGGAGTCACTTTCAGCGCTGACAGCGCCCGTCGGAAATACCCGAGCGCCTCCGAGCTCAGGTGCGGGAGAGCCTCGGGGGCCTGCTCCGCACGCGCGGCCGCCGGCAGCCGGGGACAACCATCGCAGCCGGGAGGGGGACGCCCCGAACCCCGGGCCGCGCGTCCCCGCCGGCCGGTACCTGAGAACTGGCGCCGCGCTTTGTGAGCGGAACGCGGGCCCAACCCCATGCGTGCTGTGGGACCAGACGTTCACGCTTCCCGTTTGTAGCTCCCACAACCGCCGGCGCGTTCTGTAGACGTCATGAGTCTGCGACGGGGCGGGCGGGCATGATGGGCGTGGCTGCAGGTCGCCCTTCCCCATTTGCGGGTTCCACCCTTGGGTCTGACCCTGGAATTCCAAGGCTAGCCTCGACTCGTTCTATATCATCTTCATCCGCACCCGGACTTCCATCCAGGCACGCACTCCAACGTGGCAATAATCAAAGTCCTCGACCTTTGGTCTGACGATCTGGGCAGAAAGAAACTCAGAGGCTGCTACTGGCGCAGGTAAGGCTCTGTCCACTTACGGTTCACAGATTCGCGGTTCTCCGTGGGACTGGACAGGAAACAAGAGCTCCAGAGAGCCCTGGACTCTTCGTGGACATACCCTGTTAGACTGCCTCGCCAGATTCCCCACCAAGTTAGCCCCACTCAGAGGTTCGCAGTAGTACTATGTGTAGCGCTGGAGAGTCTCCACCCAGCCCTGTGCATCCTAAAAGGACAGCCTGGCCTGAGACTTTGACTCAGCTATCCTTCGGTGAAATTTTTCTCCCTTCAAAATAGTCCAAGCTTAGCAGCCCTTTCTAGCCCTCACAGAGACCTGCCTCAGTACACAATCTACAGGATTCGCTCAAAGCAACTCTTTGCCTCTACAGATATCCCCTTTGATGTGAGTCATGGTAGCGCCTATGAAGGGTCAAGTGTGTGTGGTAACTGGGGCCTCCAGGGGTATTGGCCGTGGCATTGCCTTACAGCTATGCCAAGCAGGTGCCACAGTTTACATTACCGGCCGCTATCTGGACACCCTTAAAGCTACTGCCCAGGAGGTAAGTGACTACCTGATTACTATATCCCCCTCCCCAGCAAATCGTTAATGTTTATTGAGTATAGATAAGCAATGTAGGGTTGAATTTTTCTACCAAGAAAGTAAGGTCTTGCCTATGGTAGCCCTCAGTAAATGCTGATGTTAAACCTGCGGTTCAATCTACCTTGCCCTGTTGTGGGAGGTCCCACTGTGGTGAAATTCCTAAAGCAGACAGAAGAGGGAGCCATTGCATGTCATGTCCCAGCTGTTGGCTGAGTCCTGAGCTCTCAATTTCTAAATTCACTTGTGTTAGGAAAATAACTGTGGGGCTGGTGAGATGGCTCAGCGGTTAAGAGCACTGACTGCTCTTCTAGAGGTCATGAGTTCAAATCCCAGCAACCACATGGTGGCTCACAACCATCTGCAATGAGATCTGATGCCCTCATGTGGGTGTCTGAAAACAGCCACAGTGTACTTACATATAATAAATAAATAAATCTTTAAAAAAAAAAAGGGGGCTGGAGAGATGGCTCAGTGGTTAAGAGCACTGACTGCACTTCCAGAGGTCCTGAGTTCAAATCCCAGCAACCACATGGTGGCTCACAACCATCTGTAATGAGATCTGATGCCCTCTTCTGGTGTGTCTGAAGACAGCTACAGTGTATTCATATATAATAAATAAATAAATCTTTAAAAAAAAAAAAAAAAAAAGGAAAATAACTGTGAACTCATACACGCTGTTCCTCTCCAGGCACAGTCCCTCGGGGGCCGGTGTGTACCAGTGGTGTGTGATTCAAGCCAGGAGAGTGAAGTGAAAAGCCTGTTTGAGCAAGTAGATCGGGAACAGCAAGGGCGGCTAGATGTTCTTGTTAATAATGCCTATGCTGGTGTCCAGGTAACCTTTTAATTTGATCCAACTCTACATTCCAACCCCACTCCCCAGTCCCACCCTTGAATCTCCATTTGTAGTCCCATTAACCAGCCCTGTATACCTTCCTGCCAATCAATCACCCTCCTATATTCTAGGCAATCCTGAACACCAGCAACAAGTCATTCTGGGAAGTACCTGCCTCCATTTGGGATGATATAAACAATGTTGGACTCAGGTGTGTGCTTCACTGCCAGAGCCTGGGCTCCCCTTGTTTAGTAGCCCCAGAGCCTGGGCTCCCCTTGTTTAGTAGCCCCAGAGCCTGGGCTCCCCTTGTTTAGTAGCCCCAGAGCCTGGGCCTTTTCCTAAAAGGACTCTTTCCCCTCCGGCTTCCTCATCTCTTTGATCTCCCTCTACTCCTTTTGTCCCACATATTTCTGGAGAAGTTCCATGCCTCTGGGTTTGCACCTAAGAATGTCACCTTTTTTTTTCTTTATCGTGCGTGCCTGTGTGCGTGTGCGTGCGTGTGTGTTTTCTGTGCTCACCATGGTGCATGTAGAGATCTGAAGACAATTCCAGAGAGTCAGTTCTCTTTCTCCACATCTTTCTGTGAGTTTTAGGGCTTGAACTCAGGTTTCCAGGCTTGCACAAGAAGCAGCAGTTAGCTACTGAGCCACCTCAGACAGCCTGGGAATGTCAATTTTTGCTTTGTCTCAGTTTGTCCTTTTGGTTTGATTTGGTTTGCTTTGCTTTGCTTTGCTTTGCTTTGCTTTGCTTTGCTTTGCTTTGCTTTGCTTTGCTTTGCTTTGCTTTGCTTTGGTTTTTGAGACAGGGTTTCTCTGTGTAGCCTGGGCGATCCTGGAACTCTCTCTGTAGACCAGGCTGCCTCTGCTTCCCAAGTGCTGGGATTAAAGGCCTGCATTACCTCCCAACTCAGATTTTTCTAACAAGATGTCAGCCTTGTTCTGGCCTCATTATTTGCCTGTCCAAGTATAAGTCCCAGAAGGAAGGATTCTCTCTGTTGCACACAGCCCATGGGCTATGTTTTAAAAAGTGGTTAGAAGGACAGCTCAAATGATTAAGGATGGACCAGTTAACATAGCATGTATATGCTCCTGTCAGTTCTGATCTCTCCACACATCGTTACTTCCTTCTCATTCATTCTCAGCCCCACTGACCTCTCCATCCCTTACCCTCTCAGTTCTCTCTCTTCCCCAGTTAATCCTGTCACTTGTTTCCTGTTACGCTCTTTATTTCCCACCTTCCTTAGAGCGCTACCTCCCCTCTTACAATTCATCTTCCGTCTATAAATATGCATGCATACATACATGTATACGTGTATACACATGTATAGTTTTAAACCTAGGATCCACATATGAGAGATAACATGGTATTTGCCTTTCTAAGTCCAGCTTACTTTGCTTAATGGTTTCCAGTGCCAGATGTGGTGGTGAATGACTTTAATCCAGCACTCAGGAAACAGAGGCAAGCAGATCTCTGTTAGTTCGAGGCCAGCCTGGTCCACTAGTATTAGGACACCCAGGGCTATGTAGAAAGACCCCATCTCAGAAATAATAACCATAATAATAATTGTTTTTCAGTTGTATCCATTTTCCTGCAGATGAAGTGGTTTCATTTTTCTTTTTCTTCCCATTAATTTATCTATTCACTTCACATCCCAGCCACTCCCTCCAGCCCCACTCTCACATCCCAGCCACTCCCTCCAGCCCCACTCTCACATCCCAG